AGAGCTACAGCATTTCATAATTTTGGAATTACAAAGTTTTTCTTTCCTTCACAAACGATCTCTTCAATCATTCAAAGCCGTTTTCTTGTAGCCAACCAAAGACAAAGTTAATTTCTTCACACTTGAACTCATCCATTGTTATTGACACCATTTTGGATTCAGCACATGTGTTTAATTAAATTCCCGGGTCAAATTCCCGACCCCCTATAAGCAAATTCCCCACCTTCCACTACAAAAAAGGTCAAATTCCCGCCTTCTTCAAACACTAAACAAGCAAATGCCAGGGGGGGATGTCAAGGTTTCGATTTGATTCGCGCAGAAGATTCCTATAGCAACCCAGTGTGGATTGTTGTTTGCATATATTAACTTACCAGCAGTAATAGATATTATGTCCATTGTTAGCATAATATGAAGTAATTTTATCGGCCTATTCATATGTTCACCTGACTGTGTCACTACATTTCAGCGGGTATACTATATTTTTCGATAATGCTCACAATTTTTTTCTTATTATATAGTTTTGCAGTTCTGGCTGAGTACAATCTTAATCATTACAATGAATGGTGTCATCTGAAGCTGATGTATTAATTAAACAAAAATGTCAACAAGGGTAGCCATGAAGGTGCCATTAAAACAATATTTGGGACAAAAACTGACTTAGTATTTCTATATACAGTATGATATTATACAGTATTCAGTGGCAAGCTAGTCATGGCAACTGGTAATGCTATATGCTAATAAACCTACAACATTTGAATAATCTAAATAATAAATTTGCATAGCATGACCTAGCTGTTGCTATTGCTAGCTTTGCCACAGAAAGTATTATAATTATACACACAAAAGTAAGAAATTATAATTATTGAAGGTACTGTATTCATATTATACCGTCTATGCAGGCCAAGCTAAGAAAGTAGAATTAGAATATTTAGCTGACCTCCGACTTTGTGCAAGGTGAGGGTCTAGATGGGGTGGTGCCCAAAACAGTAAACATTTGATTTTTTAGTAATTTAACAGTAACAGTAAAAAATTTCACATAATAGTAAAATTTTGCTAATTTCATGAAGACGTAAAAAAGCACTTAATTATATGTAGGAAGCAAATGCACAGTCTCTAAGACCATCAAAGACATATTTTGCATATTTTGTAATTGGCACACCAGGCCCATATGCGCATGTGCTGACCTGCATGAAGGCAAAGATGCAGGTGCTGGGCAAGGTGACAAGTGATGTAAAAGCTATAAAGATCTGTAAGACCCAGTGGCATGCTGGGTACTATTTTTCTGGGGGGGCCAGTGGGCTGTCAACAAATATGCGCCCCTATAATATTTCGCTTGATAAACGAGGGCCGAAGACACGAGCCGAACGCCGCAGGTGCGAGGTTTGTCTAGGGGGGTCCGGGGGCATGCCCCCCAGGAAAATTTTTGAATTTAGAGTCTCTGAAATGCCATTTCGTGGACTTTGGGGGAAGATTTGACAGAAATCTGATGGTCAGGAAACGGCATTATAACGTATCGAAATTTGCAATTTAGTTTGAATTTAGTAGTAGTAGTACTTATATTATGCAATGCTAACAACTTCCAGCGATTAATCTAATCTCAATTCTATTCTCTACTGATCTAGTGATCTGAATACAATTACAACATACGGTTCTTTTATACAATAACACATGGACCCCACGCATATGCATTTTAAGGTTTCCGGCTGCCTGGTGCCAAAAGGGCGCGTTTCAGCATTACTCACAATACATTACTCATGATGTTTCTAGCGCAAACATGCAACTAAATTGCGTACACAACTTTACATTATCATAACTTAAACTATCTAATTTGCGCCGCTCTTGTGATTCGTGAAGCATAATAAAGGGCATAACACCAGCAAAAAAAGGCATAATTCCCGTGATCACTTCGAAACCTGACCAATATTCCGGTGATGAGACATTGCGTGTGATCACAGTTCATGTTTCTATATGAACGATTTCGTGTGAGTCGTGAGGTAGCAAATTAGCAAATACGGTTAGACAAAATAGTCTGTATAATTTAATATATCACTTTGTTACCTATGCACTTAGTCTGTTTTATAAGCCTATATAAACACATCTTTTCTCGGCGGAAGTAAATATATTTTTTCGAATGCGTTTTTTCCCACCCACTTTCAAATCTCGGCGCGGGATCGGCGCCCCCTTTTCATTTTTGCGCCCTGCAAGAATTGCCAACTGGGGGGGCCGTGGCCCCCCGGCCCCCCCTGCCAGCACGCCACTGGTAAGACCTGTAAACACACTCTGACATCGCTTTTAATATAGTTTCGTATTCTTTTGTCTGAAATTTAGTAGTTTAAAGCCCTTTTTGAAATGCATTAGACTTTTTATAGTAATTACAACACTTAACTGCGAAGTCTTCCATGACAGTAAACAACAAAATATTTAGCGTTTCAACATTAAACACTATAGAATATGGGCCGTCAACACTTAACGTTAAACCCCATCTAGACCCTCCAAGGTGTTTGATATTCAAATTGCATTTTTCCTACTTCCTGAACAGGCATCTTACGGGCTATTTACATGTTGGGAGGGTGGGGTGATTTTGATGTATTGAAATAAGGCTAAACAAAAGTTTAAATGCTGGTTAACAGAACTCAAATGTTGTAAAGAATATTTTGCAGTTCAAGAAGATTATTATTGCCAGGGGCGTCGGAATGGTTGTAAAAGTGGGGGACACACTTTGTGTCCACCAAAGACAGGTGACGACAGGTAACAGTGTAGGGGGGTCCAGGGGCATGTCCCCCGGGAAAATTTTAAAACTAAAGTCTCTGAAATGCCATTTCCTGCACTTTAGAAGGAGATTTACGAAGTTCTAAAGGTAACAAAATGTCATAAAATATCTCAAATTGTTTTGTCTACACAGGTAACTGAAATAATATCATTTAACTTTGTGGTTTATTACCGACCATTGTTAAAAAGTGGGGGGCCCAAGGACATTTAGCCCCCCAACTAAAAAAGTGAGGGTGCGGCAGCCCCCCTGGGCCCTCGCTTCTGCGCTTCTGAAGCCCCATTGCTGAAGCTCCTGATTATCGCTGCCTGAACAACCTTTCATTTACAGTTAACTATAATCTATCTGAATCTCTTGAAAATAATGTAGTCTTGCTGAATTATGCACCATAACTTATTTCAATATATCGAAATCATCCCACCTCATATCTCGTCCTGGCAAAGCGGGATCATATTCAGCAAATTGTGCATGCTGCCTTTGTTCCCTTGGGGGCGAGGCAGCACTTTCCTTGCGATAGTAACTCCTAGTATATAGCAATATTCATCTTGCGTTTATATCGAAACCGGGCTGGCCCGCCTATACTGCGAGATCACGCTTTGTGAAGACCGGGTCTCGCCCAGGCGGGCTGGAAATGTTCCATATAAACGCAATTACCCGGGCTGGCTCGCCAAAGCGGGCTGAGTGTTACTGCTCTATTCACGCGAATATATTGTTGTGAATAAGATTTTCTGGACAGATTTCGATCTTAAAAGGTCTCAGTGAAGGTCAGTGAACGATTCTGTGAGTATAACCGTGAAAGTTGCTGGCGAAAATGTGAATTTCTGCTTCGTGAGAAAATATTACTATTTATAGCAATGAGTCAGTGGTTTGTTTTGGCGAGCAAGCCCGCCTCGAAAGTCTCATGTAAACACAGGATGAAATCAGCAAAGCGAGCTAGCTTGGGTACCGGCCTGGCTCGCCTCCATATAAACACCCCCTAAGAGAGCAAATGAGACAAGGTAAATATAGAATACTCTTCCAATAATGTTTGTATATCTGATGCGGTTTCAACTTTTGCATGATTTAACACGTCACCACATGACCCTCAAAGTGTTCATTTAAAAATACCCTAAAAGTTCTTTAAACATGCACTTTAATGACCCTTAAAGTGTTTCCAACTCTCTAATGACACTTAAAGTATAAGCCCTTTAATGACCTTTGGATTTCTTTTGAATTTGAACCGGAAGACCCAAGTGTTTGATCTGTGTATTGAATTTAGCACCAACATGGCAACCGTTTATGTGCTTCAAAACCATAATCGACACGACAAACTTGTATATCATTCAACAGTAAAGCGAATCTTTGCCAATATCAAGCAGGGCGCTATAAAACACGGGCGGGGAAACGCGCTAATAAATGACCGTGCTACGTGTGATGCACATTAGGATTGGCGCGAGCGCGCTTTCTCTAAAAAAATCAGAAAATCGCGTACAAGATGACAACAAAAAAATGTAAACAAGCAAACGAGAAAACAAAGGATTTAAATGCTAAATAATTATGTTTCGTTAATTAAAATTTGAAATATTATTTAATAAGTTATATCACATGTAATAGCTTGTGTTGTTTGTTACTGAACACTCGTTGAAAGAAAATATCTGGGCAAAAAATTTACTCGAGCGATGAAAATATTTGCAAAATTTAAAGCGCGGACGTGTTTAAAATACTGTTTTCTCCTCGTTGAGATAGGTTGAGATAAATTTGAACACATCAAACTATAGACATTTAACTTGGCTTTATGTCTCAAGTAAAATTGAACGGTGCTTTTTGTGCTTTTTTCATAAAACGGAGATATCTTGCAGCTTTTATAGTTTTCCGTATACTCCACACGGCAATTCCGCGACTACTAATATACTTATTTGATGCAGATAAGACGATATTTAAACAACACAAATTTTCAATTATTAATTAAACGAAATCACTTCCTGCCTCAAATACATACTATAAACGTCTAGTGAAGGATCTAGTATTAGCTTATATAGTTAAAATTGGTATCTATTTCACATGCAAAATGAACAAAGCGATTGTTGAGGAAAAGACATGCATTTTGAACTCGATTTTGACGACATTTTTTCTTTTTTGTCAAAGCGCGGACGTGTTTAAAATAGTGTTTTCTCCGCGTTGAGATAGGTTGATATAAATTTGAACACACCAAACTATAGACATTTAACTTGGCTTTATGTCTAACGTAAAATTGAATGGTGCTTTTTTGTGCTTTTTTTCATAAAATGGAGATATTTTGAAGCATTTATAGTTTTCCGCAACACTGTTACTGCAATGTCAACGACTGCAGTCGCACGAAAAAAGATTCATGTACGCTGAATATTTTTGGAGTGTCGGCGGCAGTTACACCAATAATAGAAATCAAATCAATTAGTAAAAACACTTTACAATGAACTTTCAATGGATTTCCAAGCAGGCCGGCTGATTAACACAAAAACGGTTATATATTTAAGTTTTCAAATTGTCGAACAAAATGAAATTGTAGTTGTTTTTTTCAGATTCTAGCTGTTTTAAATGCATGCATGGTCAATTTTGGGCTATATGATTATTGAAAAATAGTAGCCAAGCAATGTCAGAATATTCTTACTGTGAAAATGTTTATCCTACCTTCGCATTAAGAAGTCAAATATCCCATTTCATAAAATTTTCGTGTTTGGAATATGCTCACATTCGATCAGCTCTATTCCTTTTCAAATTTTTATTTCGCTCATGATGAATCTTTATAGCACTTTTTCCTTCATCAGATATACAGAAAATGAATCCAACAATGTCTTCAAACTATCAAGTTGTTTAGGAATGTGCAGAAAACATTTTTTACTTTAGTTTTTTCAGCCTCTTTTTTGCATAAACATTCCAATTCCATTTTTATTGACATTATAAATTAATGTATACGGGGGGTACGCGCATCACACAAAGATCAGGGGCGCTATCTCCGTTTCACCGCCCGTGTTTTATAGCGCCCTGTATCAAGTTAGCCTGCTCACAGACGTTGTAGTTCTTACGCCAAGCGACGAAATACTACCGTCTGCTTACCCAACCTGCAATTTTTTTGCCTACTGGACTAGAGAGCAAAATTAATGTATAACAAATAAAAGTTCTAACGTTTTTAAATTTAGCATTGTAAAATAATTCAGCGATACTTTTTTATTATTCTGCATGAGTTCTATATAGTGCGACAATATTATTGTTGCAGGGTGACAATTAAAATTGTACAGTTGTGCAGTTCGTCCTGAATCTTTGACAAGGTTCCTCTGTCGGCATTCCAAGTGCTCACTATTTCCCTTAACTAAACTTGATGATTTGTGTTTGATGGTTGTCGGTACGATAAACAAACATGCGTATGTTTGAAACTTTCTCCAGCACCTTGAAATCAAAGCGGTTAATTTTACTGATACGCCAAGGGCGTTGTCAGATTGTTTGTATGTGTGAGATTCTAAAAGGTACTCAAGCAGTACAACACAAGCCGTGCTGAAAATTTGCAAAATTGTCATTTAAAGGTATTAACATTTATTCATAATAATGGTGGATCACTTTGAAATGTGTGTTATTTTACTTTGGACAACCAGTCTATATATTAGTACAATTTAGTTGAAGGGGCTATATTGTCGTACGCTCTACTTGTGCATTGTATCAAACGCATAATGTAGAGCAACGTATAATTATAATGCGTATGGTTTGTAAGTAGGAACACAGAACGTGTGGGAGATATATTCAAGGTGTGTTCCAACATGTCCACTCTACAAGGATAGCAATGAAACTAGATTTTGGAAATTTAAAGTTAATTCATTTAAGCAAAATCATTCAACCACACCTTGAACAAAGATCGGCTCACATTAATTGCCCACATGCATTTGCCTAACTACATTGGTGACAAAATTTCTCTGCGTAATTCAAAATGTTTCCTATATTTCGTAATCAGTCAAGGCGTGCTCTGAATGTTCGACAAACTTCAAAGCATCTATAATGAGCTGCGATTTTATGTTGAGACGGCTTGACGTGCACAAATCTTTTACAATTTTGCTTTATATTAATATTTCATCAGTACGGCTGTTACGGTATTTCACTCAAATTCACTATTTCGCAATGCAGCGTGAGATACTATAATATCCCACGGCAGATCCACCATGGGATATTATCAGCCTAGTTCCTGGCCTTCTCGCTTCCGCCTCGTTATTTTAGGGGGAAATCGATAAGGTTTGCAGGTTGACCGGGATAAAGCTGTATTGCTTGGATACTGGGGAGAGGCGAGAAGCGAGAAGGCCTAGCAAAATTCGCAAACTGTCCCAATCTCGTACCCAGAGCCATCGTTGAGTGGCTCTGGCCACACGAGTTGAGTTAATTAGAAAATACGGTAAAAGTACAGTATTTTCCAATTAACTATTTCGTACCCATTCTCCGGGAATTCGCGCGCGCCATAGTATTTTCAAGAGGAGTGGAGAGCTAACTTTTTGCTGAAAATATCAATAAAATCCCAATTTTTCCCGTCAAAAGCATTAAAATATGTTCGGCGCAGTTTGTGTGAACAACAAGGCTGAGTGCACGTGTGATTTCCGTTTAACAAGTAATTTGAGATGATTGAAACACCGGCTTGTACACATGTCAACACTCATCGAGTCATCGATCAAATACTCTGTCTCAAATGGCTTCTATTTCCTTCAAAATGTTCCGATTTCTTCTTAAGGGATAAGTACGTTTAATTATTTGTTATATAAATGTAATTTAATGACTCTCAGCTTTATTTAATAGGCTATTCTTGAGCAAGAACGTTGCTTGTTGCACACTGCCTTGGTTACCTTTAAATATTCTTTAATTTGTTACAATTTATATTGTTCATGTCATTTTGTTTCAAGGTTAATTTTTGAATCTTGGGCTCTGAATTTCCATCCTAATTGTAGTCTATTTAGGATACCACAAAAGATATTGTGTACCCCCTAAAAATGCAGCAGATTTTCAGAAATTCTATAGCATCCTGTGAGCTGATCATACCCAGTATTTATTACTATTATACATGCATTATTATGAATCTATCATACCTAGGGAATTTAAAACCAAATATTATTCTTCATACAATAATAAAATAAAGATATTTT